AGCTCCAGGAATGAACTGAGCAGCAGTACATCTGGTTGAAAAGCCGTAAAAAAAAAAAAATTTATCCCCAATACTTGAATGTATTTTGAAAATTATTATTTTTAAAACAAATGATTACATGTCTACTTGTCTATTTTCTTGAAATTCAATTTTCTAAAGAATCAGAGTAAAAAACCCATTAAACATGTGCTGTTATCAAAATAATCTTGCATATAGTTCATGAGTAGTGCTTACAGAGTTCATTCTGACATCCATTTAGCCTGTGACTGAGGGTAGTATTAGGGATGGGGTAGGTATGACATGTATGAGAAATTCTTTTTATCTTCAGTTTCAGTAGTAAATATCAACAAATATTTTACCTGTAATTTATTCTGCAAGCAGTTGCAGAATAGTGTTACAATACCCCAAAATAAAATATTCTATTACAATATTCTGATCCTTTAGGGACTTCTGTTCATCCATAAAAAATTTATGCTAATCTTACCTACTTTTGGAACATATAATTTTTCTTACATTTTAGTTCCCAAGCTTAACCAGCAGTAATTGATATAAATTAAGGATGCCAGCTTGGAAAGCTGTTCCTTATCAACCCCTCACACTGGAACTGTGCTGCACAGAATCTTAATGGATTAGTTTCAAGGCTCAGTGAAATGTCATGGAAGAAGCCTTAAGTATTTAGAGAATACTCAATGTGGTCTCCTGCTGTGAAAAGGCCCAAAGCTGACCTGTCATATGGTTCCAAGGATCCACATAAAATCTGTTCCAAATGCTATAAGATGTTCCCTTGGGAATGGGATGATTTGGAAGAACAATGTTTTATTAGAGTTTTTGGATGGACAAAGACTCACATTTCTGTGGAAGTCCTTGTCATTAATAAAGAACTCCCAGCAGTATCCCAGCCCTGAGGTGCCGCAGGGAGGCAAGAGAGTGTGATGGTTACACTCATGGCTTGCCCTTGGGCTTTGAGCACATTATTGATCTCCCAATCTTAGTTTCCTTATATTCTTATATTCATGATATGTATATGATAGTACCTGCCTCACAGGGCCACTCAAATCTAGTCTAAACTGATCACCTCTAAAGAGCTAGCATGGGTTCTTAGAATGAATATTGAGTTCTAGAATTAAAGGATTTTTTAAAGGGGAAATCATGGCTGTTATATAAACATAAACTAAATATATGCTAAAGATTTTATTTAACTCAATTAATGAGAGAACCAGTACCATGTTGTAAGTAGTTCAAAGAAGAATTCAGAAGAATGCTGAGATTAATTTACGAATAGAAACAAAACTGGTCAGTATCTGCAGGGCAATCAATAATCAATTGCATTCTACTGGGAACAATTTGCATTTCTATGGATGAGAATCATTTGCATTACATAAGTTCTTTACAAGTTTTTCACAATTTTTCTTGTTACAAATTACGTAAAGAATAACGCTTTTAAAGGGTAAAAATAAAAAAACAGCTGCTCAGAGAGAAGTAAATAAAATCTTTAAATAATTAGTACAATTGAGTAAGTAAAAATCAAATTGAAAATACTCTCTTTCTTTCTGCCTTTGGCCCATTGCTATACTTTAGTAGCACATATATCTTTAGGGAAGTGTACTAAAGTTCAGAGTTATCTAAATTTGGATGATCTCTGCTGTTTTCTGGGTCATCTCTGTCACTCAGGGACTAATTTTATTGTCTCTGTAAGAAATAGTTAGGAAGATGCTTTTCCCTGAAGGTGCAAACACACATCATTATAAAGTTAAATATATATTTCTGCAAGGGAGAGGTATTTGAGTAGCATGAGGAATGGATAATGAAGTGGACAAGGAATCAAATGGCATGAATTCAAGCCTGAATCTTCTACAACCAAAATCAAAGTTGCATAATTTTGCTGAAGTTCGATTTCCTTATATTTACATGGAATGATTATAATAATACCAATCTCAAAACATTGTTGGAAGGATGAAATTAAGTAATGAGTATGGAAGAACTCTATAAAGTGTAAAGTATTATTCAAATGTTAGTTATTGTCACAATTCTAATCTACTGGATTGAGTTATCTACAGATAATACAATCTGTAAGTGGAGAGGCAAGTTGGCAACCCCAGCCCTGAAACTAATTTGCTGTGTGACCTTGAACAAGTCATTGACCTTCAGGGCTTCCATTGTTTCTTTGTCTCTTTTTATTTCACAGACTAATTGTGAAGTTCTAATGAAATAATGATTGGCACTCAGAAATCTACTAAGTACTATATAAATGTAAGCTATTGTCATTAGCTTGGCTAAACATCAGGAGCTGAGGGAATTAGAGAAATTTTTCTTTTATTGGTTACCTATAAATAACTTTTGTTGTCAAAAATAACGATTTCTATGCTCAAAAAAAATCAATTATTTACTAAATTTAATTCACACATACTAAAGATAATGTGTAAATTTAAAAGGAAAGTTCACAATGTTATTCTCTTACCTAGGACTTGGCAAAATGAAATTTAAGAGACTTCTACTATTGTTTTCATTTCGAGCCACCTTAGCACAGTGTTATAACCATTAATGGAAGGAAATCTTCCGATACAATGAAATGACATTTGTAGCTAGGCCATTAAAGCTGGTTCCTTTAGAAAGAATTGTCCAACCTCCCCCTCCCAAAATCACACACACATCCACATGAGTCTTGAAAAAGATTTTAATGATACTGTATGGTCCAGGGACCCAAAAACGCATTGAAAGGAATTTTCCCAGTTTTTCTGTTATTTGATCCCTAAGCAGGACATATTGAAATATGGCAATGGTTTTTAAAAAATAAATAAGTGGCAATAATAACTTAAAAATACCAGAGTAAAATAATAATCATCAAATGGTCCTAAAACTAAATAATATAACAATAACTAGTTACAATTTCATTTGTCAATTATACCTCAATAAAGTTGGGGAAAAAAAATAACTAGCACTCATTTTCTCCTATTCTTTGATTTCCTTTTATTTTCTTAAGGAATTTCTTGGTGCAAAAATGATAGAGCTTTCAGAGCACGTACATCGTTGTTCAATTTCATCATTTTTAGTTTATGCCAAATTATAGCAATAAATCATTAAATTTTCAAACTTAGCTTGTACTGAATTATATTTTTTCCTTCACTTTTTTAAAAACAGTAATTTATTGGCATCTATTTTCCGTAGTGTATCCCCCTGGTTTTTTGTTCCAACAAGACAGATGAAGCCATTCTTAAACATAAATGATACAACCTATCACTCTGTACTAGCTTAAGATCATTCCATGATTAACTCAAATCGATGCTTCTCTTAACATAGGGCTGAAGATAAACATGCACACACAAACATTCACACACAAATTAGTAAAAGGGAAGAACCTCTATGTGAATATGCCTCTAAAAGTGAATAAAAAGGTAGGAGAAAGAGATGCATTCCACTGAAATATTGAGGTAATTAAGTCAATTCTATTAGGGTGAAGAGAAAAGAGCATAAGCTACATACTAACCTTAAAGGGGATGGTAAGGGAGCAGGTAATAGGCTGTATGTGAAGCCCTTGACAAGGTATTCATAAAAGACAGAAATGAATGTAACCATGTTAACCAAGGTGTATATACATCTGCTCATCTGGGCAACTGTGACTTTCCTAGGAATGGATTGAGCCAGCAAAACAGCTTCCTAAAGAAGCTTATGTACACACACAAGAAAATGATGTATCCTTAGACAAATTTGGAATTCTAGAATAACTATTAATAGAGATGAAACATAAACATTTATACATAAAAAAGCAAACCTAGCTTTATTACTATATTCAAAATAGTTTATTAAATTTTGAGTTTTAAAAGAGAAACCTTTAGATTATTTTTAAAGAAAAGTTTAACATTCATTTTAGTTTTTCATTTTTGTAGATAAAATGGGGTGTTACGATAGTATGATGTGGGATGGCCAAACTTTTGATGAGTTATTTTGATTTATTTAAACAAGGAACCATTGTAGGTACATTAAGATGTACAAAAATGGACAAGTATATATCTTGGCCTCCAGAAGTTTATAAAATGAAAACAGTTTCAGTATGTGTGTGGTTAATATCCTAACAAGTAGAGATAAACATATCACTACTTTCCCTTATTCCAACTATTTTTACCTTTATTTTGCCATCAACATGACTTTTAAGTTCAGAAGTTCAACCTCTATTCCCACCACTACTTCTCCAAAATCACTTCCACTATGGCCATTGTCACCTTTACCATCACGCTTGGTATTAATATTAACGGAATACAAGATGCAGAACTCCACTTGTCACCCAGTCTTCAATGACTCTGATTGTATTATCAACCCTTAAGAGAGCAGTGAGTGAAAAGCAAACACCATTGATTATGTCTAGGAATTATTCATAAGGGCAAATGTTACCACTACTAACCAGAGGTAAATCTCACTTTGTTTCCTATTTCTAGTAAAAATTGTTGTAATCATGAGTTGTAGTCATGTTATTTTGGTTACAACACTTTAAAGTACCTTTTCCTTTTCCTAGGCCAATCTTTTCCCAAAAGTATATCCATGGAGTGCTTTGTCTTGGGAAAATTTTACCAAAAAAGAATTTCTTGGGAAATTCTGAAGAAATCCCCTTCTTGAAGATTCACAAGATGAGTTAGCACATTAATGACTCTCGTAACAAAGGAACCTACTTGTCTTTGTTTTACTCACTCTCGTAACAAGGGAACCTACTTGTCTTTGTTTTACTCAGCATTTCCTAAGTTTATTTGACCATTGGACTCTCCCCTGCCCATACTTAGCAAGCAGCCGTGAACATCCCTCAGAACTTGTATTTCCAGGAAGACACTCTGGTAAATACTTCTTTTGACTGACAAGGGATAGAATCAATCAGATGAATGTTACATCCTCCCAAAGCTTGAAAGCCCTAATAAGCCCTAGGAAGAGGCCATGGCACTACAACTCAATGAATCTAGAAGGAAAAGATTTCTGGGAATCACAAGGCCACTTGATCAGTGGCAGACTCCACTTGCTGAAGGAGATTTCTGAGGTTTAAAAGAGCCAAGTTGTGCTGTGGATGTAGCTGGAGAGCCCTCTGATAGTACATCTTTGCCTCTGCTGTATCTCTGGTCAGTGTTTCAAGGTTGTTCAGGGCACTTGCATAGTGTGGATACAACCTAAAATAGTGCAAATGCTAAGCCATGATTGTCAAACATCTCTAAGTTTGGCACAGTTTGCTTGTTCTTTTTTTTGTTAATCCAGGTATACCACAACCAAAATAAAACACTGAAATCTTCCTTTACTTTCTCTTCAGAAAGGGTAAGACTGTGCCAATCTTTACAGTCAACTTCTTTTTTGTAAAAAAAAAAAAAAAAAAGAAAAAGGCAATTTAACGTTGTTTATAAATTTTGCTGCTGTAGGTATACAAGTTTGGCAGGAGAGCATAGATTTGACACATAGCAGTATAAATATAACCTCTAAGTAATGCAAAATTTAGAAATATTACACAAAGTTAGCATGATTAAATAAATTCTAACCTTTTATGGCGTATAGAGCTACTTGCAAATTCTTTTGGTAGAAAATTCTCATGAGGTGCTGAGTTTCTGGCCTGGGGGGATTGCTGACAACCTGCTCGCATAATGCTGTCTACACAAGATGGTGGGAATTCTTTGGTTTGTATGTGAGGGGCTTACATAAATGTCTTTCAATCAGGGCATCTGTAAAGCTAGCATTACAAAGAAGGAAAGGTATAAAAACTTAAGCACATAAAAATAAATGATATCCCTAAAATGTTTCTTCATCTAGATTCATCATTTTGTCTCATTTCCCCCTCCTTCTGCTATGAGATTCTACTTTGTCTGATGTAGTTCACAGCACAAAAATCCTGGCAAAATCTACAAAAATAAAAATATTAAATAATGCACAATTATGTAAAAAAAAAAAACTAGGCCAGCACTCTCAAAATTCAAGAGCAAATAAAGAAAATTTGTGCCGACGTAGGAAGTATGGGGATTCCACTTGCTTCCTAAACAATGAAGAAGCTAAATGATCACAGCTATGTGATTTAGAAATTTCTGCTATATTTAGAGTGAACATATTTGGCAATTTAAGAGGTTCTCTCCATCTCTGTCACCCAAAGAACAAAACTGGGAAGCTGGTTTTTAACGTAGAAAAGCTGAGAAAATGTCCAAGGAATAAAAACAGGATCTCTGCTCGTCAAATCCCTTGACAATCAAATGCCGTGCTTGCCCCCTGTTCTGTCTGGTCTAAGAAGATCAGTTTAATTTTAGAGCAGAAGGAATTCCTATTGAAAGGCCAAGGAAGACACGTTGTAATAGCTTAAATGGCCCACACAACAGCTAAGGAAGTTGTATGGCGAGACACAGTATTAGAGGCAGCTGGACAGAGAGAGAAAACAACTCTGAGCTGGAACAGTCTGGCTAATTCTTGTGTACAGCTTTCATTCGCAGGCTATTCTAGGGCCTCCCGTATCCTCAAGCACACTCTGAGCAGTAACTGAGGGACAGCAAATCCTAGGTGCTGTCTCTTAGAGAGGCTGGAGGATATTGTTATGATGGGAGGCAAAAAATACCCTTGTGTTGAAAAAAAAGTACTCTTGTGTTCCACGCCTGTGAAAGATCCTGGGTATCTTAGACAAAGGAACTACTTTGTTGCTCCTTGGAAGTGATTACAAAGAGTATATCTCAGTCAGGATTTATTAATTTAAGAAAAGCTCCATAACCTCTAATAGATTTGGGGGTGTCCAGTGAACACGGTGTGGATAATTCCCACACTCAATGTTTCCGGGATGAAGGAAGCCATCATGGGAAGCCTACCTGGAACCTTTTCCTTCTTTTATCACAGAAGAGGTAATTTCTTAAAACTTGACCTTTTCCTTATTTGTCTGGGTTTGGGGGCCCTTGAAATGAATATCTCAGGTGAAAGTACTTACTATGGGAAAGGTCAGACCAAATTCAACAAGAGCTTCCACAGTGGGGTCCCCTGTGTGCTAAGATGCCCGTCCACACTGCCATGCAGCTGCCCTTTCCAGCTGGTTCTCAGCCCACCTTCTCGGACTTTATATTCACTCAGGATCCCACTGTCATTTAAACAGTCATGTTCACTGACTACGGAATTGTTTTTTTCTTCTTTTTCTTTTTGATCTGAAACAGAAAATAAGTTCATCTGTGAGCTCTCAAAACCAGAAACAAACATCAAGAAGGAGAAAGAAAAAAATATGAGCTCCGTGAGCAGAGGCCTTTGTGCTCAGAGTAGAGACTTTGTTTTAACAGATAGCCCCACGCTAGAGTTGGCTTGTCGGCATTTATTGTAATTTACTGATTCTATTACCAAGCTGCAGCCCTCCATCTGGATAATGTGTAGACATCTTTTTTCCTGGTAATGACAAAGGTCTGCAAGTAATATCCTCTCTCTATAGGTATCTGATTGGTAAAAATTTCTGCAGCTTCACCCAACCTCAGGTGAGCACTACTTTATTTATGAAACAAAGCTGAATTTTATTAAAAATGTTCTTCAACAACCAAGTAAAAGATATCACTTTTTTGTGTGTGTGTGAGGAAGATTAGCCCTGAGCTAACATCCCCTGCCAATCCTTCTCTTTTTGCTGAGGAAGATTGGCCCTGGGCTAACACCCACGCCCATCTTCCTCTGCTTTATATGTGGGATACCTGCCACAGCACGGCTTGATGAGCAGTGCATAGTTCCGTGCCCAGGATCCGAACCCAAGAACCCTGGGCCACTGGAGCAGAGTGTGCAAACTTAACCACTATGCCACTTGGCTGGACCCAAGATATCACTTTTGATTTTTTATGAATTTATTCTTCAACAACCAAGTAAAAGATATCACTTTTTATTTTTTATGAATTTAGTTTTAAAAAACATATATTTTCCTCCTGTTTACCACAGACCCATGTGAGGATGAAACCTACTTTGTGTTTTTCTCTTTAATTAAATACATGTTTGAATTACATTGGAGCTTGAGATCTTCAGAAAAGTCAAGTAGGGATTATTTCTACTGGAAAGATGAATAATTTACGAGATGTCCGTATTTCCACACCAATTGTCAGAATAAACTCAAACATATCTTGACCCTGATTTCTACAGATATACCATACAAAAGTTCTGTTCATAGTTATTCCTTACCCCGTTGAAAGAAACTCACAGAGTCCCACTGGTATAAAAAACAAATACTTCACTGAACTGGAAAAGATTGATGATTTTTAGTCCTATTGTGAATAGCCACTGTGTTTGGTTGCTCTCACCATTTTTTAAAATCATTTTTTCTATGAGATGAATTTCAAAATTTTATTATAAGAGCATATACAGTATACTCAAGTAGTAAACCTCATTGTTTCATTTTAAAAGAAAAATATAGGTACAGAGATGTATAGTTTAATGAGCCTCACAGAAAAGGAACACACAGGGAAGAAATTAGTTGTCATGGAAAAATCTCTAATCTATTGAGAATTTTTATTCAGATATTGGAAAGCTTAAACGTTTGATAAACACAATATATATTTAGGGGTTCTTACATTGCATCTAACAGAATTTCATTAAGCAGAAGTAGTTAAGCAGGTAGGCAAGAAAATTATTTCCTTCCCTCTTAGCCATTGTATTTGCTTAAGGGAAAAATGGAATTCAGGAATAAAAGAAAATAAGACCAAATGATCCCAAATAGTGGTAATGACATTTTACATTTGTTTTGTACTTTGAAGCTTATAGAGTACTTTTACATATATTATGTCATTTAATTTTCCCATTTTTTTCAGGAAAAACTATTATTTTGCCTACTTTACAGTTGAGGAAACCAAATATAGGAGAAACTAAGAAAGTTATAATAAACATGCAAACAAACAAAATAACTAGTACCTCAGAAGCACTTGTGTTCTTAAAAGTGTTAAGAGCAGACGATTCTGGTAAGTTTGTTTGTTGACCTACACAACGTGAGCAGTGACTCAGCCTTCAGTACCACAGTGACTACAGCCCTTTGAGCTACAGTCATATAGCTCAACAGTCATATAGCATAGGCTATATGTAAATATGTGACCACCAATTGATCTTCAATGTGGAAGAACTGCTGCTTTTTTTCCCTTGGCCAATCCATTTAACTCTAATATTTCAGTGAAGAGTACTTAAACAGAAGGGAAATATTTCTAAAGAAACTGGGCCAACAAGATTACTTCTTTAACTGGAAAAATTTGTTTCCTATCACACAAAATGAACACATTTCTGAAAAATATTGCATAATTGAAAGCCTTTTAAAATCAATAACACTCAGTAAATGAACAAAACTGGACTTCCCAGGTGTTGTATAAAAATTAAGTTAAAATACAACATGCTTTTGGTTCTACTATTTTTAAGCTCTATCGTTGACCAAAGTTCTACAGGCTTGAGTCTCAAAAAAAGAGAAAGGATTATATACAGGCCATACAGAAATTAGCGATTGGTGAAATTTATACAACTAAAGCTTAGATTTATTTTTCATTTCAAGAATTTCCTTTAGAGTTTGCAATATCTGTTAAAAAGTTATGGATGTCATCATTTTTTATTGTTTATGTGATTTGTAGTACTTCCACGTTTAGGTAAAACTTCATCAAGTACTCTAGTTTGTAATTTCCTTTGTGCATGTACACACCCAGATTTACTTGCCTGATTTTCATTCCCAGATTTTATTTATTGGAGGTTAACTATGCTTAGGGTCAGATATTTATTTTCTATTTCCTGTTGAGAAAAGAAATCAAACAGAAAAATATAACTGCCAAGAAAAAAAAAATCACCCATAAACCCTTGGTTTTTCAGGAATAAAAACTACCCTAGATAAACTCAATTTCAGGATGTGGTGCTGTACTTTCACTGTGTCATTCTTTCTCCTGCTCTGTGCAGGGTTCCTTTCTTATCCCCAGGAAGTAATGATCAACCAACCTAACCTGAACTCATCTCAAGGGTGATCCAGAAAACCTCTGCTATTTATTTGCCAACAGGATTTAAAGGAAAACCAGGGATGAAGAGTCAGGGAGTGAGTCCTCTAAACAGCTGACTGTTCTGATACTTGAGACTTAACCCTGTAAGCACCAGAAAGTAGGGAATTTATCCAATGAAATTCTTGTTTAAAAATGCTATTCACGGAATATTGTGAATATAATCTAACCTTTTCTTG